AAGCTTTCTAAGCAAAGATGGATAGTGGCTAGCAGGCAGGCTATATCAGATCTCAGTAGCTAAGTGGATTACGCGATAGCGTTTGAAGCGAACGGTACTGGGTTCGAGTCCAGTAGTGAACATCAACTCTGTGATGCATGTACATCCATCTGACGAGTCCCGAATAGGACTTTTAAATAACTACTAAATTAGTAGGAGTGTAGTGAACGAGAACACCAGTGGGAGCAGTTGAATGCATTTGAATACAAAATTACAGGATATCTCACTAAAATCTGAGAACCATACAGTAAATACTTAATTTGTGAAATATCAATCAATTGTCTCAAACTTGATTACTTCTTTAGCACATATCAGTCAATCGTCTCAGACTTCACTGTTCCTGCATTTCCATACCGATTGATTTCTATTCTCGTTCTTCCCTTCTTAACCTTCGGCTGCTAGACATTCTATTCCTGACTACCGTTATATACTACTTATGTCGATATAAGTAGCACACACTGCAGGAGTATATGTTCGATGATTTTCAAATAAAGTCTACTTCTCTATAAATTTGTAATTATAATTAATACGACTGTAGATAACTTGGTGATTGTTACGTTTTATTTATTTATTTATTTGGACACAAATACTGGCACAAGGGGGCACCAGATACATATGCGCCACACAAATCTCATTTGATCTGTATGAGCGCTGTGATACTGCTCGGGTGCCCAGACCGAAACAGGAGGTTTCCTCCTTAGAGGGCTACACCCCGAGCCTTCAACATAAAGGTCTAATCCACAAGGCAGTGGAGCAACGTGAGGAGATGCAGGTCCATGGTAGCCAGTGACCAACGATTGGTTCATATATCATTTGTTCCCTCGGGGTACTGGAGCCCATGTGGAGCATTGGTTTGGAATCAGGGTTTTTCAACTCCCCTAGGTGAACCCTCTATGTTCACCAACCCGGTTGAAGCTTCGGACATTCACTTTTCATCCTCTCGATTTCGTAAGCAACAGTAGTGCCACGAGAAGGTAGTGAGTAGGACTTCTCTGGCAGAGGCTATATACGCGTGGCCATGTGAGAGCATTTTGAGAGGGAGAGTGGACTCTCCCCACTCTCGGCCGTACCAGGGCATTTTGGGGGCGATTGTTACTTTAAAATGATGATAATATTTAATTAAATAATACAAAAGATAATATCAATTTAATTGTTTACTCATTAAGTGTATCAGATAAATAAAATTACCCTCTTATTTTACCATAGATAATATTAACAAGTTGTTACTTTAATCTGTTTTCCGATTCTATTTTTCTTCACTCCACTTCATTTCTTCCTAATAGCACGTGGTTTGGATATACCTAGTATACATAATGTAATAAATTATGAAGTTGCACGAGATATTGACACACATACTCATCGAATTGGTAGAACTGGTCGTGCAGGGGCAAAAGGAACAGCTTATACATTATTTGTTGCTGGAAAAGATCCAGTTGATTTCGCAGCGTGTTTAGTTCAACATTTGGAATCTGGTTCACAAACAGTTCCACAAAGACTTCTTGATATCGCTCTAAAGTGTACTTGGTTTGCAAATAATCGATCTTCGCTTAACAGTGGAAACGGCGGTTGTATTAGACCAAGTGGTGGATTTGAACCTCGACAACCTCGTGCCAGACCAGGATTAGGTTTATCATCCGATAGCAGTGAATCAAATTATTGTCCACGTAGTGGTCCGGCAGCTGCAGCAGCGGCAGGTGAAGGAGCTGAATTAATTCGTCCAGGTGGTAAGTTATACTTTTTTAAGTCAAATTTATTCACTATACTTTCAGTATTCTGTAATCAGCAATTTTAGCCATTTTCTCATTCATTTAGTAGGTGAATGTTGCATATTGGAGTGTATTTTTCACTAAATATGTCAAGTCCCTGGAAATATCCGCTATGAACATGTCATGTGAAAATACCAGTGAAAGTAAGGATTTGAGATGAAATCTCTACTAATAATCACACCGTAATATGCAGCATTCACTCACCACTGAATGAACAGAGTAATGATCAAAACTGTTGAATACAACAGACGTACTAAGCACTTGAAATGCTTATGACAAACTCAACCATCAATTATATTATATTATGTGGTGTCTGAGTCTGATATTGAAAAGCAATTTTCCTACACACGAGCCCATCGAGTGAAAAGGCTAAGATTGATAAAGGAAGTGTTTTGGCTACATTGAATTGGCATGTATAGTATACTCATTTTTATGTATATCCAGGGATTAAGCTACCAATGGTATATGTTTCTTTCTTAAGAAATGAAAGTCATTTGTTGGTCATTATCATTTGGTCGATTTCTGATTGACCAAATCTGTCAATCTACACGCGTGTATTTATGCTCAATAATTGTATGAGACTAGTAAGATGATACCAAGTTGCTACACAAATGACGGCGAAATGTCCCTCTTACCTATTATTGTAGGTTATACAGCAGTCCAATTCATTTCACTTTATAACTTTTAAACATGACATCAGAAAATAAAAGACAGTCGTATGCTCCTAATACTCATCAACCATAGATACGTCTAAAGTATTACTCGTTTATGGTGGAACAGCTTAATGAACATTGTTCAATTTAAAAATATGGTACTAGGGGAAAATTACAAGTCGATAGACGTCTCCAAATCATTGTTCATCTTGTTCCAGAATAGTAAGCACAAATATCAATTATTCCACACTTTTTATATCTGTATTTCATTGCCTTCCCTTCGAAACAACATGCTCTCCGGTGTTCAGTTTATCTTACTACTTTCGCTTTGACCTTATTTACTGTTCATCTTTCTAATTTCATCCCGCTGTGATTGGTTTTGTATGTATGATAAATTAGACTGATGGACATTGTGCTAGATCTTATGTCCATTATGATTGGCCGACTGACTTGGAAGACGGTCCTTGAAAAAAATTCAACTGACAAAATTGAACTGGAAGTCTGTATCTTAGCTCAATCAAAATTAAGATTTAAGTCTACTCGTTTTCTTTTTACTGACAAGTTATTGTGAAATTGAAAAAAAAACCCACTTATTATCGATTTCACTCACCATAGGTTTACAAGCAGATCGATTTTCTGCCATGAAAGCAGCGTTTTCAGCTCAATATAATCGAAGATTTGTATCGGCTGGTGTCGAAGCTAGCAGATATACACATCCAGAAATGTTGAAATCATCAAATACAACTGATAAACCTCAACTTGCAGACAGTTTTATTGTTCAAAGTAATAACCCAGAAGAATCCAAGTGTCCGCAACAACTTCGATCATCTCCAGTTACACCACAAAATGTACAGACGGATTCTAAGCAAAAACGTTCGAGATGGGATTAAATGATATTTGTGTAAAGACGTTTTCCAATTCTAAACGCATTTTTTTGATTGTTACTTCACAGCTTGTAACTTTCATACATACATATATATACACACAACGCAATAAAAGTTTTAATCATTTGATCTAATCGATAATTGATTGTAAACAGGGGGAGGCTATTATTAATTAGAAATGCGTTAAACAAACCTATCTACCGTAGATTAGCTACAATGCGCATCTGTTAACCAGTTGGCTATCGATTAGAAACTCACACCTCTACTTACTTACTTCAGTTTGAACTGTTTGATACTTTGATCATCACAATATGTGCACGACTCGAGACGGAGTACTTAAAACTTGTATTTACTAAATGAGATACATATTTCATTAAAGAATTATTTGAATGTTTAAGATTGATGTCAGATGGTTGGAGTTAGTCGGTAGGAAACCACATATGATCTAGATTTCATGCTAGTTGGTGCACATCAGCAATACATACCTGTAATCTTGAAGGAACTGATGTTCTCTGACGGGTTTGAACGTGGATCACCAGGCTCCACAGTCTGAACTGTTTACCATGGAGCTTATTCGAACCTCACCTGACCTCCTGTGGGCTGAATATTTACATTAATTAATCGCTGTTCATGCTTTAGTGGTAATTGTATTGAATATCTGTTATTCACTGAATCTCCCAGATTCCCTGGTACGGCCGAGAGTGGGGAGGGCCCGCCCCCTCTCGAAATGCTCTCGCACGGCCACGCGTATACAAACTCTGTCAGGAAAGTCCTACTCACTGCCTTCTCGTGGCGGGGTGTTGTTTACGAAATTGAAAGAACGAAAAGTGAATGTCCGGCGCTTTAACCTGGTTGGTGGCCATGGAGGGTTCACCTAGGAGAATTAGAGAACTGTAGTGGCTGTACTTCGTTGACCAATCACCCTCGCAACCATTATCATATAATCCTCAACGGTGTTTGAAATCAGAAAGCAAAGAGAAGCAGCGACTACAGTTTTATTAGCAGATAACTCAGACCACAAAGCAGTGAGGCGAATGAGTGAGTCAGCGAACCGAGTGTTAAATGTACAATTAAGCAGTTAATAATAAAGTTAACAGAATGAATATATGCGTAGGCGGTAAGCAATGTTCAAGCATACATATTTCATACAAGCACAACAATAATAAAGGTACAACTATATAGATAAGTTATTATAGTACGGATGACTTTGTCCGCTAAATAAGTTAACAAAAGGGCTTAACTGAGTTAAATGAGAACAAACTCAATTGCACGTGAGTTGCCATAAGACCCTGATTCCAAACCAATGCTCCACATGGGCTCCAATACCCTGAGGGAACAAATGGCGTATGGGCCGATCGTTGGTCACCGGCTACCATGGGACTGCATCTCCTTACGTTGCTTCCCTGCCTTGTGGATCAGACCTTCAGATCGAAGGCTCCAGCTGTGGCCCCCTAAGAAAACCACCTGCCTCGATCTGGGCACCCAGGCAGTATCACAGCCCACACACAAATAAAATAAATAAAAAAACTGAACTTTGAATCTGCTTTTTAAAAAATTATAATTAGTAATAATCAAGTAGTATACAGGTTCTGTTTGAATGTTGTTGTCAGGAGTAATTTAATCACAATTAAAAACCGTTTCATATTTTTACATCAAAGAAAAAAAAACGACATCAGTTGTTAATCTTGGAATGTGGTTCCAATTTCGAATTAACAACATCATAGTGGAAAGAAAGAAGAGAAGAAAATTCCTTGTTCTTTTATCTTTGTGTAAAAATGTAATAAGGCTAGTATGTGTGTGTGTGTATGTGATGAACTCAGTAAGTGTTGCTTTCTGATCTTATTGAGTTCTTATTGTTGGATAGATATTTAACGTCATCCACCAGTTGAACAAAATCGTGAAGTTGGCCTGTAAGTTGTCCCAGTATCACCCATTAAAGGATTGTAATCTGTTATATTTGAGAAATAAAAAGTGATACGTATAACGTATTGTTAATGATGTTAGTACGTTTTTTTGTTGTTGAAAAAGCAAACAAACATTTGAATGATTTTAACACAGTTCGTAAATGAACTAATAAAATAGGGCGCTAATTAAAAATAAAAAGCATCTCAGATTGTAATTATGTAATCGTTTGCAATTCATTTGATAATGGATAAGTTGGTTCCAAACTAGTCAAAATCTTGAGAATAAATTCACTCTTTTAAAAGTAAACTATATTTGTTAATTATGAATCTTAATAAAAAGTAAAATAAAAAGATGTGCACCCCTAATGAACCTTCAATCAGTACAATAAAATAGCTTTGTTCTTAGCTTTTCCCATTCTACTCCTGGCCTTGGTAATATCTAGTTCACAATTTTTAAGCATATAAACCAGCTAATTTGAATAAGTTTCTAGATATTAATGGTATATGATACACAATTACGCGCTGCATCTTCCCAAAAAGCACATTGACGCAAAAACTAACTTACAGATCATGTGTAGTTTATGCTTGCTTACTCACTGCCTTCTCGTGGCACTACTGTTGTTTACGAAATCGAGAGGACGAAAAGCGAATGTCCAGCGCTTTAACCGGGTTGGTGAACATGGAGAGTCCATCTAGGGGAGTTGAAAAACCCTGATTCCAAACCAATGCTCCACATCGGCTCCAGTATCCTGAAGGAACAGATGGCGTATGAACCAATCGTTGGTCACCGGCTACCATGGGACTTCATCTAATTACGATGCTCCATCGTCTTGTGGATCAGACCTTTGGGTCGAGGGCTCCGGATGTGGCCCCCTAAGAAAATCTCCTGTTTCGGTCTGGGCAGCCGAACAGTATCACAGCCTTCACACATATCGAATGAGATTTGTGTGGCGCATATGTATTTGGTGCCTCCTTGTATCAATATCTATGTGTTAAAATAAATAAATATGCTTGCCAACAGTTTTCAAGTACCTAAGTCAAGGTAGACAGTAGTCACGTTGAACCACTTGGACTGGATTTCATTTGCTTTAAAAAGCCTTGAATGAATCAACATACATGGACATGGATTCTGTATCTTTTATCATATGTAAGGATTTCTGTTACTACCTACAAGCGAATGGACATCCCGTAAGATCATAGTATCTTTGGATTAAATAGGCAAGTAATAGTAGTAGCGATAGCTTGAAGTGGTAATTTTATTTCATGAAGCTTCTATTTTAAAATTAACTACCTGAAAATAAATAAAATTTTATTGGTCATTTGCAAATGACCCTGGACTTACGTTTCCAGCTAGCTATCACTTGTCAGGAAGGCATGCTTGTAATATTAAGGTATGGGGTTTTAACTCATGTCACTCAACGTTATGCTGATACGTTTGCATTAAGTTATTTAACATGGAATTAAGAAGTAAAGAAATATATAAGCATGTCACTAACTTAGCAATATATATAACTTGTGAGATGAACTTTTTATGTTGTGTCGATGAGACCGTTGTACGTTACAACAGTCCTCATATGTAGTCATTACAGTCCTATTTGTTTACCATTTTTGCATTATTCAATTTATTTTGATCTTTTTTGATAGCTGATTAATGGTGTTTACATCGAATCACTTCTGACACTGACATATTTCAGTTAATCATATTTCTCAATATTGATTCAGAAAAATAGTTAATACATACTCTTGCTACATTTCACATGAACTAGGGTTGTTTTCATGATATCAATGAAAAATTAACAAAAACGTAGAATCTAGCATGGATATGTATCGGCCCAAGATTTGTCACACTACCATACAGCAATACCGTGTATTTCCTTAAGATATATAAATTCTGGTACAGTTGAGCTCTAAAACAATTACGTGCCACATAGAATAAAAAGATGACATGATGCAAAGGAATAAAAATTTCAAACGAAAAATAAGTAAACAGTAATGGTACGTGGTAGGCCCCGACTATAGCTGTTGCCTTAACGTGGTGGTTGGGTTTGTCTATCGTGATGACTCAACTGACCTACGTTCGTTGGAACATATGCTCTGTTAGATCCTAACATGCGATGGAGGACGGTAAGAATAAAAGCGGTAACTTAAAATCCAAGGGAGAAATCGTACTGCTACCCGTAGGAAGTGTGACAGAAGTAAGGTGTTTCCTTCAGACGATCAGCGTCTGTAGCGATGCCACTTTCTCACAATGGAGGGAATAGGTTGGGAAAGTTCAACCCTGTAAATGTTGCCCCACTACCTCCCGGAATTCCTTCTCCGGAGACAAGGCCTTTTGAAGTGCGTAGCCAACGCACCAAAAACTTCCCATAGAAAGGCCTTGCGCTATCGGCCTCAAGAAGTTGTTCCTTGGGTTCTGCAGGTCACGTTCCCAAGTCGCTAGGACCATCACCAATCCAGCTCTCTCTTGAGGTCCCTCGAGAAGAAATATTGTTCCACAGTATGGGCGCAACCGGGAAGTGACAACCTCCTTCATACCCCTACCTCAGACTAACATAACAAGGAATACAGCTCAATTAGAAATACAACTCGGAAAGACTTCTTTCAGTTCAGAGAGTTCTCACATTTATGAAGAACGTAAAGGAAAACTATCGTATTATCGCTACTGAATTCCCTCTTGAGCCTTGCCTGACTTCTCAAGCAAGTGAGTTGTACCGCCTTATGACACGTAATATGTGTGGGCCAGGATAATCCCCAGTTCCCCTATTGTAACAGACCTAGAAGTTCAGTGCACAAGGTCTGGTCCAGTGCTTGCTGGTGACCGAAATAGATTCATAATCAATCCGGTTCCTTAGGATCTTGGAGCCATTGGTTTCGAACCAGTGTTTTTTTTTAACTCCCCCAGGTAAATCTCCCATATCCACTGAATCGGCTTAGGCGTCGAACGCCCGCGTATCATCTCAATTTCGTAAGAAACGTCTCTGCTACGTGAAGTTAGTAGAAATTCCTTGTCAGGCTATAAACATGGCCAAGTGAGAGCATTCCGGGAAAGGAAACAAACTCTCCCTACACTAGACCTTATCAGGGGCTAAGTTTGGTGTCAAAAGTGAAAATTAACGAGGCGAAAAGCAAACAAATGGAAAATAAACGTTAGACGTAGTGATACAGCAAAAGATCATTAACAAGGAACATATGAGGTAGGCAAATGAAAAGTATCATTTTTATGTTTAGGTATTACCTCGATAAGGCTTTTATTATTATGATGTTAGGCAACACATTTTATTCTTGCAATACGTTTATTATATATTCCCAACTATGCACAGACCATATAGGATAAGATCTTACTAACTGAAATAACGTTTACTGATGTATATATACACATATGAAATAACTCGTTATCTGACTTCAATTTAGTTTAACTTACCATTGAGTCGGAATCGTTTCTTTTTCTCACCAGAATGAGTACTTTCACGAACCTGCAAGATAACATGAACTGATGATTCAATACGAATAGAATGATCAATTTGTAATTACCAACTTAATATAATTAAATAGTGGTGGAGTAATAAGTATAGCATACATGAGCATATATATAATTTACATATCACTCGTTTGTCTTCATCTTATGCAACCATCTTCTCTGTTGAATACTGTCATTATTTATTTACTTTAACACAAATATTGGTACAAGGGGGCACCGAATACCTATGCGTCACACAAATCGAATGAGATTTGTGTGAGGGCTGTGATACTGCTCGGCTGCCCACACCGAAACAGGAGGTTTCCTCCTTAGAGGGCTACACCCCGAGCCTTCAACATAAAGGTCTAATCCACAAGGCAGTGGAGCATCGTGAGGAGATGCAGTCCCATGGTAGCCGGTGACCATTAATTGGTTCATACGCCATTTGTTCCCTCGGGGTACTGGAGCCCACGTACACCAGTGGTTTGGAATCAGGGTTCTTCAACTCCCCTAGATGGACTCTCCATGTTCACCAACCTGGTTAAAGCACCGGACATTCGCTTTTCATCCTCTTAATTTTGTAAACAGTAGTGCCAAGAGAAGGCAGTGAGTAGGACTTCGCTGGTAGAGGCTATATACGCGTGGCCATATGAGAGCATTTCGAGAGGGAGAGAGGACTCTTCCCACTCTCGGCCGTACCAGGGCATTTGGGAGCCGTGTGGTACTTTTCATAATGCTTTAAGAGGATTAAGCCAAAGTGGGATTTAGTACGAATGAGTATCAATACAAGTTTCCACACTTCATAACAATAAAGTAAACAACAAGGCGAAAATAGTAAGATGAGAATTACAACAAATAGAAAAGTAAGAGTACTGTTGGTGACAGTAAGGAAGGACTACCTAACAGAGAATATGATTTAACACAAAAAGAATAAATCCACTGAATAAAAATTACAAAGTAATTTTGAAACCTAAGATTTAAGGAGACAACTAGTGAACACATCTGTGTTATGGTGAACGATTTTGCGCCATATTACATTTCCAACCACTAATTATAGTAATCACGAGGACCTCAACCAGATAGTGTATATTTACAAATATAGTTCAGGCCAATAGGAGTTAGGAATGCCGCCCAACTTAAAATTTAGAGGAACTTAGTGCATGAGTGTGACAAGATGGATGTTACCAGTCTCGGACCATATCGTTAGAGGTAAAATACAAAATGTAGGTTTTGGTCACTACTACTTATAAACTGTTTGTCGTGTTCTTATCGCTTTTAAGTTTGTATGAAGCACTGAAAACAAGTCCGAAAGGCACTTGTAGAAAAGTCGAGAGTTTGTTTAGATTCTTGGCCACACTTTTTATTTAATCTATAAAACCCGATGAGGATAATGGTGCCAAGTTTTGTAGTTAATGGATCAAGAGCAAAAGAAGTACAGTAGTAGGATATTAATATTTTTTACAGCTTACATTACTTTTCCCTTCTTTCTCGTCTTGATTTTTAGATTTGCACTGAGCAACCTCAGCATTGAATTCAGCTTGAAATTTTGCTCTGGCAGCTTCCATAGCTAAGCGATGTGAATCACTAACAGTTGACGAGTTTTCAGACCAAGAACGGAAGAATTTCCAAAGAAAATATGATAATGCGAAAATAAACAAAGCCACCAATCCATAATTGAAGTTCGTTTGTGGACTCACTACAAATTCCAAAAGTTTATCAGAAAATATTTTAAGATTACTTTCTGGAGCAGGAAAGTCCATCCTGAGCACGGCCTCTTTGTGAGTTTATTAATTCGTCAAGGTTGTTACTAGATGATTTACAACAAGAAAACGAACCCTGAAATTGTCCGAGAAATGATTAAACATATGAATGACTTGAAACAGACTTCATGTCTAAGAACATTTACTGTCGGTTTGGACCTCACTCGGTTTACTACAGCTTGTATAGTGTAGTAGTAATTCAAAAACGAGGACATGGAACTGATTGATCACAAAGTTGTGTTAACGATTTACCTCATCCGAAACACGTGTTGTCGAGGACAGAAACTGATATCTTTCAACAAGGAATTAGAAAATGAGCCCCGAAGTCACAGCTGAGGGTTTTAGAACCACATATGCTTTAAGATGGACATTCATCAAGTTACATACTACTGCAGTATACACAACCTTAGTGATGCAAATAAATAACTACGAATCGTATCACTATACAATATGTGGATTCGTGCTACCCAAAGTAAGAAACTGTTAATATTTAGGAGTCATATTAAGCAATGATCTCAAAACCACTAGTCACTGTAAGGCTGCTGCTGCGAAAGACTATAGGGTATTATGGTCTATTCGTAGGTCTTTCCAGTATTTAGATGATGAAATGTTTAGATTATTATACCCGATTTATGTGCGACCACATTTAGAATACGGGATTCAAGCAGCGAGTCCTTGTTTCAAGTATGAAGCAGAGATGCTGGAAAGAGTCTAACGACGAGGTACTAAGATGGTACAAGGTCTATCTGGCCTATCTTATGAAGACAGACTGAGACACCCCAACTTATTTCCGTTATCTTACCATAGAATACAGGGTGATCTAATATTGGCTAATCGTATACTGAACGATGAACTTGGTATTAACGTAATATCTTTTACTTTTGTCTAGGACTGATCATTTGAGAGGACATTCGAAGTTCAAAAACCGAGATCAAATCGTTTACGTTTGGAGTTTCGTTTCTCGTACAGAGTAGAGAATTACTGGAATTCTCTACCGGAACAAGTAATATCATCACCTTCTGTTAATATATTTAAAACGAGATTGGACCTCCACAGTATTACAAACTGCAAGGATTAATATAGGTCGATAGACTTCCTATCCTTAATACTGAAAACTGTGTTCAGACCGTGACTTTGAGTCGAGACGTGATTTGCAAATATAACTTGGCAGACTTCAAAGTTAATATAGGTCTGTACAATTTGATAGTTGATAAATTGGCATGGATAATTCCTGTGAGATGGATTCGCTCCCAATCAATAAATATTCAGGGTCAAACATGCGTACGGTGAAGATAAGCATTATATTGAACGTGAAGCTGTCTAGAAAGCTTTGAGATTCACAGCAGTTTGGCTTGCTTTCTTATCTCTTTACGCAGTCATATTTTTATTGTTCGACATCGTTTTACTGATCATCAAATTATTTTTTATTAATACCTAAGAACATGACACGAACCACAGTTAATTTTTTAAACTACATACTAAATGTTTGTCCTAATATTAAATCGGAATAGCTTACGCTCAAACTCAGATTGGTGACCAACTTTGCTAAACAAGCTATGCCAAGTCAAAGATCAACCTTGGGGTCAAACGGGACAGTGTTGTGACCTCGAGATATTAATTTACTTTCAAGTTCCAAGCTTTTTCACGTTCGTTTCAAGTGCATAAATACGACATATAAGAAAATTCAGTATCAATTACCACTGGATCACCAAAAAAATCAAGAATATGGGAATAAACGGGAAGTTAAGTTCTAACGTGATTTGCATTTATCAAACTTTTGCTGTGTTCTTACGCAACAAAAGTACCATTTCTGATCAAAAGAATCTATCCTGAGCTATACGTTCGGTAGATTGCTTTTCTCGAGTTTCACCCAATTTAATAGTTAACTGAGGTTTCGCCTCAACTCGTTATTCGGTTTTTTTCAGTTTTTCACGTAAAGGCTAGTTCAGTCTATCTCATCCGTTTTTATCCATTTTTGTCCCTTTTCAGTGTGCTTTTTAGTGTATTTTTTACGGTCTTAGGCTTTTGCTAGCATCTATAACACAGTTTACGTCAATATAGTCATGAAAAATTCATGCAAACGACCTGGATGCCGTTTTGCTGTTACATCTGGCATGCAGTGAGACAACTGCAAAGGTTGGTTCCACGAAGGGCGCGCATCGAAAACAAGAATAGGGATGTCGACAGGCCTAGCATTGATAGAGCATGCATTAGCACTGATGATGACATGTTGAAACTCATCACCATCATTACGTCGAAGGTATTGGACTACCTAAGTAAACTCTGGTCTCCCAGTTCAGGGTCCTTGAATTCAACAGTGGTTCCCATAAACTCTGTAGGTGATTGCACTCACGTCAACGGAGACAAAAAGAACCGGGCGTCACTGTCTAAGCTGAACATCTCAAGTGTTGTATGGAAATCAACTGGTGATTTGGTTGTACAGTCTACCCCCAATAGTGTCCGTCTGGTCATAAAAGAGCCTAGGATTCAGAATCGTGCTTCGACCTACAAACAACAAGGTGCTGAACCTGAAAGCACCGGAAAACCTGGGAAAACATTAACGGTTCCTGATGACCCTGTGGAGATAGACCTGACAACCTTATTTTGTAAATAGTTTTCAATGTTATTTGTATTTGTTTTGTCAATTTTTCACTGTATGTACATTTATCATTAAATGACTGTACGTGTTGTTTTAGTCAACGACCTTGAACACTTTTTCCGTTGTAATTCGAACATAGCGTGGCACACATTTTCGGTTGCTCACAAATACACTATTACGCACATACCCATTGTTCTATTCTCGCTCGTTACCAAGTCAATTGTGTTCTAAACTGGATATTATCCTCATTTCAGACTGCAGTGTCATTCCCATTATATCCTACGTCAAAGAAACTTATTGGCGTCATATTTACCTCTGTGGAATTATTACGCATTTACAATTGTGGATTTTTGAGACCAAAACTCAACAGAACACGCAACGACTAGCCGATTTAAGTAACGTCCCTAATTTGTTATTGCATTTGTAACATTTAACTTGTAAATATTAATATTACTATTGATTGCTATTAACTTTGTTGATACTTTTGCGTTTATATATTGTTTGGTCCACCACAATTATTTGGTGAGCCTCGATTATTTTTTTATAGACATTTACTATATATATCTACATAAGTTTTTTATTATTATTAATCGACACGACACCATATTTTTGTTTTTGTCATTATGAACTCTCCGGGTAAACTTATTGATATTGATAGTTCACCGACCAACCTTCTAAACTCTCCACAACCAGAGGATAATGTTTTAAACTCAATCAACGCTGTCTCGGAACTAAGATTACCAACGTACGGTGTTAATAATCCCAGGATCTGGTTTGCACAGGTTGAGGCATTATTTTTGTCGAGAGGTATACGCTCGCAAGCGACAAAATATGCATACATCGTTGGAGCATTACCCATAGAAGTGGCAGCAGAAGTCGGAGACCTGATAGATAACGTACCAGAAACGGACCCCTATGACAAAATAAAAGCCGCAGTAATCCACCGTACTTCGGAGTCTGATGAAAAACGCTTACAGCAACTACTCACCGCATGCGAGTTAGGGGACAAAAGACCTTCACAGTTGCTTAGACATATGAGACAACTAGCAGGTTCATACAAGTTAGACGAAGCATTACTTAAGCAGATGTGGTCACAAAGGTTACCTTATAGCGTCAGACAAATTCTCAGCGTATCAGGAGCCTCTGTCAGTCTTGATGATTTAGCAGACATGGCCGATAAGATGATAGAAATATATCCCGATAGTCGGGGGATTTACGCAGTACAACCCGCCAGTAGAGATGCTATGAATCCTACTCTTGACATGCAGCAACAAATGACACACTTAACACGGCAGCTAGCGTCACTGCAGGCGACTATTTCCACCATCCATTCTCGACGCCCCAGATCTAGGTCCAGAAGGAGATCATTATCCAGACATCGTCATAGGTCACCTAAGCGGGCAGCTGGAATGTGTTGGTATCATTCGAATTATGGCGAGAAAGCACGTCGTTGCACAAAACCGTGCACCTTCACGGCAAGCAAGCCAGACCATCAGGGAAACGAAGTGGCCAGACAGTAATAGCGGCAGCTGTTACTGGCCAACATGTCAGCCGCCTTTTCCACATCAGGGACCGTTTTTCTGGCTCAGACTTTTTAGTCGATACGGGAGCAGAAATCAGCATCATCCCACTCCATCTCTCACGCAGACAACATACGATAAGCACTAAATTGTCCTTGGTAGCGGCTAACGAATCAGTTATCAAAACTTATGGAGAACAATCTCTTATATTAGATCTCGGGCTCCGTAGAAGATTCACATGGGTATTCATAGTTGCTGAAGTCAAACGACCCATTCTCGGGGCCGATTTTCTTAGTGCGTACAACCTGTTAGTTGATATGACCAACAAGAGATTAGTCGACATAAACACACGTTTACAGGTAAATGGTACACTCTCCAACGACAACGAGATCCATGGTGTTCGAATAATGAAACCTGTGAACAATATCTTCAACGACATTCTAACAGAATACCAGTGCATTACGAAACCAGATTACCAAAAGGAAGGCAACCCACAGCTGGTACAACACCATATCACTACCACCGGACCACCTATTAGCGCCAGGGCGAGGAGATTACCACCAAGCAAGTTGCAAGTAGCGAAAAGGGAATTCGAACATATGATGCAACTTGGTATTATCAGACCATCCAACAGCCCCTGGGCCTCGCCGTTACACATGGTACCTAAGAAGGACCAAGATTGGCGTCCGTGTGGTGACTATCGACGATTAAACAATCAAACCATCCCGGATAGGTATCCTATTCCACATATACATGACTTCGCGTTAAATTTATATGGTAAATGCATCTTCTCGAAACTCGACCTCGTGCGTGCATACCATCAAATTCCAATGGCACCGGAAGACATTGAGAAAACAGCCATAATAACACCTTTTGGTTTGTTTGAGTTTCTAAGGATGCCATTCGGATTGAAAAACGCTGCGCAGACATTCCATGGATGATGTCACAAGAGGTTTAGACTTCGTATTTGCCTACATCGACGATGTTCTCATTGCAAGCTCATCTTTAGAAGAGCACATCCAACATGTCCAGATCCTTTTTGATCGTTTTAAAAAACATGGCGTCGTCATCAATCCTTCGAAATGCATATTCGCAGTCCCAGCCTTAGAGTTTTTAGGACATTACATTGACTCTCAAGGCATCAAACCACTCCCAGAAAAGGTTGAAGCTATTACCAATTATCCCGAACCAACCTCGATGAAGTCATTACGACGCTTCCTCGGTATGTGTAATTTTTATCGCCGTTTCTTACCACATTGTGCTGAAGTATTACAGCCATTAACCGATCTGTTGAAAACCGACAAAAAAGGTACGAAGAAAGAGAAGACTCAGACATTCAACCTACCCTCTGACGCCAAAACAGCATTCGAGAAAGCAAAGTTGATGATATCTAATGCTACTATGCTACAGCACCTAAACACCGATCCCAGAACAAACCTTATCCTCTGCACTGACGCCTCCCAAAAAGCAGTAGGAGCAGTATTACAACAATGCGTTAACGACAAGATTACTCCTATAGCTTTCTTTTCCAAACGATTATCACCAACTCAAGAGCGCTATAGCACCTTCGGACGCGAACTTCTGGCTATGTACTTAGCTGTAAAACACTTCAACTTCCTGCTTCAGGGACGTGATTTCACCATTATGACTGATCATAGACCACTTTGCTATTCTTTCAACACGTCCTACGACAGACATTCTCCACGGGAAGCCAGACAACTGGATTACATTTCTCAATTCACTACGGACATCCAGTTCATCAAAGGCTCCTCCAACATTGTCGCTGACACTCTATCTAGAAAGGATATCAACATGATGGTACACAACCACAATATCAGCCTTGAAGCTTTAGCTAAACTACAAGTGGGCGATGTAGATTTGAAGATCTGCAACGAGAAGTCTAACTTGAATCTTAAACCTGTACCCATTCCTTTCTCAGATGCATCTATTATTTGCGACACTTCAACGGGTAACAATCGCCCCTTTGTGCCACAACCCTATCGACGAAAAATATTTCAACAGCTACATGGACTGTCGCATCCAGGCATCAGAGCTACCACGAAGCTTACCACAGAACGCTTTGTTTGGCCAAAAATCAATTCGGATGTTAAACGTTGGACACGTAACTGCCTCCAGTGCCAACGCAGCAAAATCCAAAAACACACTATCAGCCCGATCGGGGAATTCCCTATTCCCGACAAACGTTTTCAGCATATTCATTTGGACTTAGTTGGGCCACTGCCTCCGTCAAACTCCTTTACCCACATTCTCACTGCGGTGGACAGGTTCACAAGATGGGCCATAGCCTGCCCTATAAAAGACACTTAGGCAGAAACGGTCGCTTCAGTCTTCCTCGACCGCTGGATATCTAACTACGGAGTACCTTCTATCGTCACTACCGACCGTGGTCCCCAGTTTCAGTCTATCTTATTTCAGGAATTCACAAGACTTCTGGGCGTAAACCACATCAAAACAACAGCCTACCACCCAGC